TCTCTCACCCTCGCCGTAGCTATTACTTAACGAAAATGCCTAAGGATAAACGTCGCACAGAATGCGATTCTAAAGACTCAGCTAAATTCCGTTCGTTGAGTGGAGAGAAATGGAGATGCTCTGAACAAAGGTTTAGTGAAGCACATGTGGGAGGGAGGAGTTTATATAAAAAGTTACTAAAATGCAATCTGAGTTTGATTTATTGAAACAACGGGTTATTGATCTTGAGGCTGAGAATGTGAAGCTAAAACAAATTATTGAAGAAAACGCTAAACGCGAAGCCGAGAACGTTAACCTTAAGATGGAACTAGAAAAAAATAAAAAAGATATCACCTATCTCTCAGCTGAAAATTCTGAGCTTAAAATCAAAGTAGCAAAATTAAGCTGTGATTTCGAGGAAATAAAATAATCCCCGATTTTCCGGAGCAATTGTCAATTTCCGAGAAAAAAATAGTAAGTGTTTCTACCGAAATGGAAAATTCTAGCATTACCCCCCGAACAAATAGACTTACATACTGGGGATGTTTCGGCATCAGATATATCCGATGACACTTCAAATTCTGATGATATTCCCACAAAAAAATTTCCCCACTCTTTATTATCTCTTTACTAACATGTTCTTTATGTTTCATTTCTACAAAATCAAGAATCTCGGCCGTATCGTCATCGATAATATTTTGTGACAAAGAGGTTGTAGATGGTTCAGTTTTTTGGACCTGGGATGAGCTATGTTCTATTCCGATTATAGGGTCGGGAGTAATAGCTTCCTTCTTATCGGGTTGACTCTCATTAAGAATTAGGGAAAAGAAACTTCGAGATCAAAATTCATTTTTGGATAGTACTTCATCGGAACCATTCTACAAAAATCAAAATCTGGAATCATCTATAATATCGCAATCTATCTCTAATAGTTCTAAGTTATCTTCGGATAATAATTCATCATGTGATTCTGAGTCCAAATCGCCTACTAATGTATCGCCTAATCAGAGGCACGAAACGCTTTGCTCCGCAAAAATTCTTTATAATCAAAAAGTAGAACGAGGTTTAAGACACGAGCTATCTATTTGCACCAAAGATAATAACCACAAGATTAGTAAAGTATCTGATATTCAGATTCCTGAATTCTCTTTAGAAGCAATTTTTTATCAGGATCTAGTAGCGTTACATCACAAAAAATAGTTGATCTATCTAGGGTAGCAATGAAGATTCGACAAAAGGAAAGTTTGTGCTGGTATTGTTATTATAAAGCATACGAGAATCGAGTCAGTGATGTTAAGACTACAAATAATATTGATGACCAGTCGGCAAGAACGATAGTGTATAATGAAATAAAATTGCTCCTTCCTGATATCACTGATGTAAACTTGCGCAAAATAACTTCCAGAGCAAAAAAAGTATATATATTATATGAAGAAATAGGAATTGATAAAATTAGTCAAATAACTTACAGTGCTATTTTAAGTTTAAAGGATATTCAAATTCAAAATATTATAAATGATTTTTCCAAGAAGTTGATTGATATGAATTGCCAAAAAGCGATCGGTGTGACAATTTGTCACGCCATAGTCGGAACCATAGTCACTACAATTCTCCGATCCACTTTCGGATATATTATCACTTAGACATCTGAGTCACTTGAATAGTCATCAGTTTCCCCGTCCCCGTACCGCTCGAGTTGTGCGTTGCGTGCTGTCATTTTTTTGTATTGATTTTTTCTTTAGCCATAATGGTATTGGTGGTATATTATTCGCAAGAAAAAAGTTTAAAATGAAAATTAATTCCAGGGTATAATTATCAATATCTTTATCGACTAGTATATAGCTATGGCATTTTATCGTTGTCCCTATATTCTTAGGACTGGAGAAGTTTGCAATCGAGGTTGCTATCGGCCTGAAGGCTGTAAAGTTCATTGGGATTCCCCTGCGCGTGTACCCTGCAAAGAGTGTGGTAAATTGACATTATCTACTTATGACTTTTGTGATATACACGCTAAAAAATATCGAGCAAGGTCGGGGTATCATAGGAAAAAGCTTGAGAAACTAGGCCAGGTACAGATGTAGGTTCAAAGAACCATTGCTCTGCAATAGTAAGTGATAGCAAAAAATATGTGATCGGGTATTTAACTTCGGAAATATTATATAATAATTATGGAAGAAGAATACCCAATTCATGGTGTGTTTCCGAGTATATTTTTAGATATGCAGTCAGGGTATTTAACTTCAGAAATACGTGTATATTATATAAATTATGGAAGAAGAATACCTATTTCATGGTGGGTTTTCGAGTATATTTTTAGATATGTAGTCAGGGTATTTAACTTCAGAAATATATTATATAAATTATGGAAGAAGAATACCCTTTTAATGATATGGTTTCGGTATGTTTTTGGTATGTGTTCGGGTGGTGTAATCTGCGGATTTATTATGCGAAGCATGGGCAAGACCTTATATATATAAAATGGAAAAACACCTCACTTTTTGATTATATGTTTTCGGGTAGGTCAAGGTGAAGTAATCTTCAGAAATATATTATATATAAAATGGAAGAACACTTCACTTTTTGATGACATGTTTTCGGATAGGTCAAGGTGAAGTAATCTGCGGGATTATTATATAATAAATATGGAAGAACACTTCACTTTTTGATGACATGTTTTCGGGTATGCTTTCGGAGTAGGTAACTTCAGACTTATTTATAGTTATATATCCGCCTTCTTACATATATACTTACTTTTTTCGTCACTTGTTTCATATCAGGCTCTCGAATATATATCTAACTGATAGCATATATATGATAGCATTATCGATAGCATAACCAGATATCATGTATATAGCATGGCCAGATAGCGTGTATATAGCGTACCCGATAGCATTTACATGATAGCATTATCGATAGCATTTTTTCGTGATATGTTTTGCAAGCCGTTAGGCGATTCTCCGAATCATGGCTCTTCGAGTTTATAAAATAAAATGCTTTGCATCTAGCATGCATATAGCATGTCCCGATTGCATTAATTTTTCTACCTATTAAATATTTTATGCGGTATATAAATGACAACAATGCAAGAACGCAAGAGCATGCTAACTCAAACTATTGATAAAATTATAACGCAAAAGGCATACATTATGTCGCATGTGGCTTGATATACAAAATACGCCACCTTGGTGCGTGTCCTAAAAAGTAAAATGCACGTCATTCGAGTGTGACCTAAAAAGCAAAACGCGCGCCATAGTGGCGCATGTCTCAGCGGTTTACAATCGGCAATACAAATGTAATCTATATTGCGTCTGATGACTTGAGTTTTTTGAACCACCCATCACTCGAATGACTTGAGTTTTTTGAACCACCCATTACTCGAATGACTTGAGTTTTTTGAACCACCCATCACTCGAATAACTTGAGTTTTGCAATTCGCACGTCATACATAACCTAGACTAAGTGGAAATGACATAATTATGTCATTTCCACTACCTTATTTTCCATAACAATAACCTGAAACTAAAACCTATTGATTTTTATGTTTACCGCGTGATCTTAGTTTGGCATTGATAGCCTATTACTATTGCAAATCAAGGAGCGTAACTCGTATATTCTGCAAAATAATGATAACGTATGGTTTTATTGCTCAGCGGTTAGGCGATGATATTAATGATGTTAATTGATTTTTCAGCTCTATAAATATAAACGCTTAAAGTTAAAACAGACATATTAATATTACCATTCTTGATATATTTGCCGAGAAAATTGTGATCGCCATGGCTTTCAAATTTCTCAAAAGCAGCTCTAGAGGTCCGCCTTAGTATTATCTGTGCTTAATAAAATACACACAAAATCAAATTTCTCAAATCTGACGCAGTATCATACTTGTAATAAAAAAAATGAAACGCCTTTATTATAATGTATTAAGTAACAATTTCTTAAATATGAGGCGGAATGTAATGTTAAAGAATGAATCATAGTAAATGTGTATCAGAAATAAATTTTTTATTTCCTCCGAATCTATGCATTAGGATCGTTTCACATTGGAATATTTCTCTTGCCTGTGTTCGTGGAAGTGATATTCAGAAGTTTTAGTTAGCAATAATAATAATGGGAAAAGGAATTTTATAAGAAGCCTGAGAAGCAAAGAAATAACTTGATGCTGGGATTTGAATTAGATGACTCTGCGTACCCTATACCCTCTTGCATCGTATATTTCGATCACTCCTTCCATACATATCTTTCACAGACGGCAAAGTTTTTTCGAAGGTAGGTTCCAAATTCGATTCTTGGGCCACTACAAATCATATAAATAAGATGTGAGTACAAGTGGTTCTTTTTATTTGGCAAAACGAAGTGTTAAATATATTGATTTATTCCATCCAACATATTGTGCAAGTGCAAGAGACAACTCCTTCAGACTACTCTAATAACGCGTTGCCAGAGGTTTGCAATGGATATTTTTAAAAGCGGAGCCTATCCCGCTTTGTGACTAAAAATATCGATTCCAATTGCCGCGATCACTCTCTACCTAACAGGAATGTTGGGTAAAGGCTAGGCAGACGCACGAACATCACTATAAAGTCTGCTCAAAGGTCTTTTTGTATAGCAGAGTACAGAAATGCCGCTGTTATTAGTAATGAGTTCATCTGAAAGAGAGTCCTGATGACGCGCTGCCAGAGGTTTGCAATGGATATTTTTAAAGACGGAGCCTATCCCGCCTTGTGACTAAAGATATCGATTCCAATTGCCGCGATCACTCTCTACCTAACAGGAATGTTGGGTAAAGGCTAGGCAGACGCACGAACATCACTATAAAGTCTGCTCAAAGGTCTTTTTGTATAACAGAGTACAGTAATGACGTTTCATCAGTTTTTGCAATATGTAATTGTGGACAAAGGATAAATTCAGTTCCGTAATGTTGTCGCATAATTTGAGAAAGATTGCAGGCTGAGTAGTTGGCTGATGCTGAGTACACGTAACTAAAAGGACTGAAAGGAAAGTAACGAGTATCGCGAGAGGAACTTTTATTCACAAGAGTGATGGCGAAAAAAAAAGACAGTCACATGATTTTTGAGTGATACGCCTTTCTTCATGATTGGGTAGCAAGTTTCACAGCGCAAATCATCCAAATATAGTCTAAAATATGGCGCAACGGCATTACGCCACTGATTACACTTTATTTATTATTACATTGATCGTTTCGCGCATGTTATTATATTATAAAACATAACAGTATATTCTATGTAAAAGCAAGTCTTGAATTGTGTGGTAGGTTCCACGTTCTCTGTTGTGTTCTAGCTCTTAAGCCTCTTCCCATGCCTGTGTTTCGTTCATTAAGTACTTGTCTTAGTCGCTTATATGTATGATAAACCTGATCGTTTTGAATGTTATCTGAAACGATTTTCAATAACGACTCAAATTTCTTTTGTCCTCCGACTTATCTATTGGAATTTCATTCATCTCATTCCAGGGATTGTTTACAGGATCAATGCTTGCACAAACCAGATAAGTGGATAATCATGTCTTTGCCATGTTGTTGCATATTGAGGAAAGAATGATGGATTTCTGTCTCTGCATGCTTTTACGATATGTTTACACACTAAGAAAGTGTTGCTGATAACGCAGTGCATGAGCAACTCCAATTACTGACATCCGTTAAATAGTTGTCTTCTGAGCCAGTATCCTTGTCTAATGCTATTTTCCATTCATTTTTGAATGCTCCCCACCAGGAAGGGAAAGCTCAATGATTGTTCAATCTTTTACAGTTAATTATTTCGGGAATCAATTCTCTTGTTAGGATCAGCGATCTAGGCAAGGACGATTACAGTTATATTTGTAATTATATTAATTATATTTTAGACATGCCAGTGTGATTCTACAAGCATTGTTGTTCTTGCTAATGGTATTGCTTTTGGATAAGAAGCCCTGGTGAAGAGATTTCAATCTGACTTATTATACCAATTAATCCACAGAAATGAACTATATTGTTTTCTTTGCAATATCTATACATCTGTTGTGATAAATCTCCATTGAGGTAAGAAAGATTTCTTTGCTGATTGGTATAAGCAGGTGAAGTGTTGCATGTCGTTTTACCATATTTAATACTTCTTTTATTTTATCTTGTGGGTACAGAATACCCTCATTGTCTCCAGGTATCCAGGATGCATCAATAAAACAAAATTGTTCATTGGCTTATTTCACTTTCTGTGCTGTATACTGACTCGATTTATACTTTTATCTCTTAGTTTATGATCAAGAACAAAAGTAGGTAAGATTCCACCACATCCAAAGAATTCTTTAATCATGAATTAATTGTATAAATCTAGGATCTTGGAGGTGGTCATCTGGAGCTGTGAAAGTATCAACATATGGATATGCAAGTGGAACTCCATAATTGCCACAATTTATTATCACTGCAAAGAGTTCAAACTTCTCTTGATTGGTCTTGAAGGTAGAATCTATTATAATTTCATTAATATTGTCTCTTTGAATATGACCATTAAATAGTGTAAGGAATCCAAGTGCTCGCACAAAATTGGTTTCAATGTATAGCGTTAGTTTGTATCTCTCATCAATTAATTTGTTTTGATTTAAACGGTTTAGAGACGATATGAGTTGATTGGAGGTGTTGGTGACATATTGTTGAGCGGAAAATTTTGAAGCCCAATAATACACTTGGCGATAGGTTTGTATTGTTGAATCAACAAGCCCTTCTTCACAAAGCCTTCTGTTAAACGTCAACTTTTCTGAGGTTTCAATTGAGATTATTGAATATCCATGTTATGGCATTTTCAGGTAAATTATTCTCGCGGTAGGTTGGACGTTCATGAGAAATTAAATGCCTGATCTTAACTTTTGCTTGACGTATGTTGATATCAATAGTAATAGCAATCTTTCCCTTACACGGATATCTTTCAATCGGAGGTCTTGCTTCACTTATTCTCTTCGTGGTCGATCGTCCGGATGTATAGATTTTTAACCCATTCTTTGAGCACAACCAAGATATACTGTTGCTTGTCCAATATTATTTTTACGACAATAAATTTTTCTAATCTCCCAATAATAGCGAGATCCAGCTTCAATCGGTAAGAGAAAAAATAGATTATATTACGAAATTTGTCTTCTTCTGTAGTATCGTGATCGTCATTGAAATTATCAATTAATTCATCTTCAAGTTCGAATGTTTCTGAGAAATTTACTTTCAATGTTCGTAAAATATCTAGCAACTATTTCTTCTAATTCGGCCAATTTGTATATAACCTTGTCTTCATCATTATTGATTTCTTCTTCCAGATCGCTGTTTTCATCAAGAGCATATTCGGTTCATTGTCTTCATTAGATCTCAAGACCTTTTTCCCTTTTCTTTTCTGAACAATTATTGCATATAGCGAATTCTTTTTCTCGGCTTCCATGGAGTCGGATAAATTCTCCGAGCGTCTTGGGAGTTGTACAACGAGAGAGAGCACAGTTTGCTTTGGATATTGTCGAAAACACCGGCTGTTTGGTCTGAAGAAGCCCATTTTTTGAATAAGCTGTGTTTAATATTAAGTGTGATTGAAGGATATAGGATTGGATTTCGTGCGTTTGGTTGTTCGATTAATAGTAATCTTTCGATTTGTCAACAGAACAATTCAAATATCGCAATAATTTAACGTGTTTAGAATTTTGGAAACCCAGATCTTTTATAACAATTTTATTACGCTGCACACAGTAGAAACAATGACATGCTAATAAAGAACGCGAATTTCTAATACAAGAACAAAGTCACAAAAGATACTACAAAAACTAGATTGATTAATTACATGGCGGGTACGATTACGTTAAGTCACTACAAAGATATGGACTTTTGAAACGTTACAGCGCGTAAATGTAAAACTAACGTTTCTTTATTTAATGCGTAAGTACAAAATGTAACGTATTTCCTTTATCTAATGCGTAAGACTTTATTTCGACGACGTGACTACAAAGTAACGTTAGTCTTTTCTTTTCTTTATTCGATCGTAAGACTTTATTTCACAACGATAACAGCGAAAAAAAGCTTTTCGATAATTATGCTGTACCATATGACTGCCTATTTTGGCTGCATGTGACTACTGCAGAGCGCTGACTAAAGTAAAGTACCCCCACCGTATAAGGCAATGGATTTGTAAAAGACCCGGGTAACACAAGTACGCATCAAACAAAAATTGATGCATTTCAAACAATAATACAAGCATTACTGTATTAATAATTCAAAAGTTAAGAACGCCGTTTTGTTCTTCTTGATAAATGTTAACAAATTATGTTTAGAAAATTGATAAATGCTACATGTGGTTTGAGATATAACTGTTCAAAGTTTGGTTAATTTATATAGTGAGCAGAAATTTGAAATGGTAAAATTTGTGTCACATGAACTTTGGATAAATATGATCTCCAAAACGAAAAATTTTGCTCTTTAATAATGCCATAACCAACTGTTTTTATTATTGATAATTGTTATTTTACAGACAATGCGATTGAAGATGATAATAGATTAGACTATTCTGAAAAAAACGACTGTAACAAATAATGATTGTTGTGCGCGTCATATTCTTGCAGCGCAAGAAGATTTCAAAGCTAACAAACCACTACCCCAAAAGGTAATTGAGAGCATGGGCCACAAAGTTATCTTCTTATTCCAATTCCATCCTGGGTTAAATTTTATTGAGCAATATTGGGGCGCTGCTAAACTATATATACGTACACAACAACATTGCGATCACACTTGGAATAGTTTAAAGGAAACTCTTCCATCTGCATTTGATTCTAGACAATACGAAAATAAGCACTTAGGTCCAAACGATTTATGGATTGCTATAGGAAGGAATTGGAGGGACGACAGGCAGAATTTGCCATTGAAAAATATACGAGTTATAGAACGGTTCCTGAAACGATTTTTGAATAAGATTAATATAGTTGATCATTGACATTTGTAGTAATAAATTTGATGCGTACTTGTGTCCCCCACCATACAGCAAACTCGATGATTACATACCCCCATATCACGTGGCTTATAATAACCAATGACAATTCGCATTCACTAACTATATTTTATTCATCAAGAATAGATGAGTGTCATAGTGTGTTATGGATGATTGTGCAGCTAGAACTGTTGTTAGCAAACCAATAAAAACCTCATAGTATGAGCAAGATTTGAGAAATATAATTTTGTACCCCGGGTACTTTACACGGATACATAATACTCTGTAGTACCCAGATTTGTAAAGTATGACAGTCTTAATCATGTGACTGCCCTTTTTTTCGCCACATAAGGGATTTTTTGTGTTACACCTAATCACGCGTAAGGACCATCACATGCGTCGCGTTAATTCTTGTTAAAGGTAACTTGAAACTTGAAATAACTTTAATTATTAAAGACTTGAACATAGCTCCATGCCTAAAGAAACCAAAAAAACTGTAAACAGACAAAATAAGAGAAAGACAACTCTAACACGTTCCGCCCAAAAACGAGGTAGCAGAAGCAATAATGTAACGGAAATCCTGAGTTCTGAATCAAGACTTTCACCTTTTTGGGCAAATACGCCAACATCAGAATGGAATGAGGATGCCTATTTCATTTCGGCAGGCTTCCAAGACCTTAAATTAGCTCAACAAAGTCTTTTGAGCCAGTATAATTTAATAAAGAATGTTCTCAGCGGCTTTCCTTGTCCCGAGTACGATCTCGTTAGGAGTAGGTTAGATGATTGGAAGGTAAAAGTTTTGTTTGTTCCTTCTATCTTGGATAGAACATTTTACTAACATTGTGATCTCGTTAGAAGAAATCAAAAGAAAGAGCAAAAACCTGGGAAAGCGTAAAAAAAAATGTAGAAATACGTAACCAGCAGTTGAAATTAAATCTACTCAAAGTAAGTAGTCACTTATGTTATATGTTATATTTTATGGGTTTTTTTTTAAAAACAATATCTTTTTATAGGTGAATGAGCAAATCAACCAAGTGCTCGCATATCAAGGTCGAGCGGATGAAGGTGAATTGATAATCCGAGGGAAAAATAGACAAGTCGATGACGACATCATCGATGACAATAATGATAAAAGCACAGACGTATCAGCGAATCAAGCATGTATATATCACTCTAATTAATTATCTATTTTTTTTTTCGCTCTGGATTAACTCGATATTTCTTTTATTACGAAGCGGCGTCATCAATCATACAGATAGTTGCAATAAGTGAAGTGAACAGAACTATCTTACCATCAACCGGCAGAGATGTTGTAAATGTTTTCCGAATGTGGGCTGTACCCAAGTATGCTTTTTTAGTGCAGTATATTATAGGTGTCTTCCTTGAATTTTAACCTTTGCTGATCATAATTTAACAGCAATATGGAATTTATCCTCGACCCGAATGATCAACGAATGGTGAAAATATTTACTTCTACAGAATTGGAAGAACTTCGGAACATGGCAAAATGCTATATTAATCTGACAACAAATAAAGACTTGTGGGATTTTGTCGAGTCATTTCGTATTGTATGTTTGTTGGCAAAAAAAAAACACGTTATAATGTTCCATTGCTAACAAAAATTTTTCTCAGCATAATGTATGTAAATATGTGCATCGTCCGACCATAAATGAATACAAGAATTACTGTGCATCAAAAGAACTCAACCTCGATCTTAACACTGATGAACAATATCATAACAAGATTTACGTTATAAATGCCATCCAGGCATTGTAAGTAGTTTTAATGAATTGTCAATTTTATAAATTGATGGGGTTAATTCATACTTCATCATATATTCTCTGTAGTATAAGGCGGGTAGATGTATATGGTCGAAACCATGTATCGTTAAGTGCAAGTGAAGATTGGTGGTCGGCGAATATTATTAACCCCTTGATCGAATTTTGCTATTTTGATCAGGGGTTAGTAGAAAGGTAGTTTTGCGCCGTTTTTTTTTTTTTTTTTTGTAACTCAATTTCTGATCTACTTACTTATCTTGTCTATAGAAATGTTGTTCCATCCATCCCTTCGCGTGATCGCCGCAATAGAGAAAGAGATTCGATAATGGAAGTAAGAATCAAATCGGGAAACAAACCCGATTTCCATCTAACAGAGTCACCACGGTTGATGTGTGGAGAGATCAAGAGAGAAGACGATCTAAAAACAGATCAGAAAAATACCGGAAAGCTATTACAAGAACTTTCAGACGAATTGGAATTAGTTTTTGGTAGTCTACCAAAAAATCAACAACAAGTTATAATGGAGATTGAAGCAACGGGATACAAAATTCAAAGTAAGTAAACTTGTAATGCTTGTATTATGTAACTATATGTAATCGTATTTCTCATATTTTCGTTTTGTCTAGAAAAACGTGTAGGAATTTATGTAATGCGTGTTTTAGGGAATGGCGTTTATCTTGGTGTTGAGATTGATAACTTTGAGATACCGACAATTTTGCAGGATATTGACAAGTTAATAGATGCGATCCAAAAGGTTCTCATAAGTAAAGTAAGAACACTCCATTTTTATGATTATACTTTTCTGCAATAGTTAAGATTTACTGTATAATTAATAATAGGTACGATTTGAAGAATCTGTCAAGCGTATAGAAATTACAAAGAGGGTTGTTTATCCCTCTTCTCCAGGATTAGCATCAAATTTGTCAGTATCCGATTTACCCGGAAAAATAATCAGAGCAACTAGCCACTCTCCCAAAAGAGTCTGAACATCCAATTTAATGATCATGTTTATTTTCACGAGATGTGAAAAAAAAAATAATGTATAGTCTACATGGTGTCTTGTGACTTTTTTTAATCTGTTAAATGCGCCTTACAATATAATTTTCTTATTCCCACCTATGACTTTTTGCGTTACATTACTGCGCATATATTCGCATTTACAATTTTAATAAAGTATTTTTGCAATTTGCACACGTGGGCTTATACTTTTTTTAGCTACATGCGACTGGAACATGTATATACATTGTAGCACGAACCGTACTAAATCACGGGGTGATCAATAAATCCGTATAAATTTGGATCCAATATTATTATAGTATAACTTGATAAAGAACTGCTAGCCGAAAAGCACTGTGTATAATCACTTAAAATCACTATAAACTGCTATAAATCTCTTAATTGCTAAAATCGTTAAACATGGTATTCCGATCCCTATTGTAAATAGCCGATTTTGCTATTTACTACGGAATTGTTTAATTGGTCAAAAATTCACTCCCATAGAGTTGGTGAAACGCATGTACGTGTATTCTGCGGCGCTTTTGTATAACTTAGATTTCGAACACCAACTTGATCACTTGATCGTAAATAGTGATAATTCG